GGGGGGGGAAAGAGAGTGTTGGGGGTGGGGGAAATAAAGGAATGAAATCAGAAGGATAAACCTGTACCAATTTGGTGGTGGGGGGAGGGGGGGGGGGGTTAAAAAGAGAGGTCAGCTGATTCCCACTCCAACAATAAACCCTGCTCATCACTGCTCAATATTCCCCAAGCATCGCAGAATTAAAAGGCAGGTCTATAAATCTCCTAATGACTGAACCCGTGACATCATCTTGCTCATATAGACTTGTTAATCCACGGCAGCCACGTTCACCACCCTCCCCCCCTCCCCCCCACCCAACCCCCACCTCGATTACCGTGACCGAGTGCTGGGCGCAGTGCCATTTTAACATTAAGCTCATTGCGGGCAAGGGGGCTTGAGTGGCATTTTACAATAACGTTGGCACTGGGAGTCACTGCGGCATTGCCTTTGAGCTTTCGTCCTCTGTGAAGGGCTGTCCTGAAAATTCAGAGACGTCAGAGGAAAGAGAGAGGGAGAGAGAGAGAGAGAGAGAGAGCGAGAGCAAAAAAAAAATCAATCTCAAACCAGACAGAGGTTACCCGGAGTGACAATACATTGTTCCAATACAATGTGGGTATGAAAAAAAAGCCTGTCCTGAAATATACTCTGTCAGTTTAGTCTGTTCGACAGCAGATTTCAATCAATTACTAAGATTAAAAAACCCAAGTCGAACTCTGAAAATCATCTTAAAAGCTTAACCTTGAGGTCATAGCAGGTTACTGCTCACGCATCTGTGAAGCACTGAACAAACTGATAGACATCCTGGGGGGAGGGTAGTGGTAGGGGGGGGGTGGGGCGGGGAGGAAAAAAATAGAGAGAGCGAGAGAGACGGAGACAAAGGAGAGGATTTTCACACGTGTACAAATGTCGCGGGACCAAACAGACATACCGCTGCTAGTAATAATAATAATAACCCTTGCATTTGATATATAGCACCTTATCGCGTCTTTGAAACGTTTCAAAGCGCTTCGCAGGATCCACTGCAAAATGAAATCGACTGTCTTGTTTTGCGGGCGAAACGGGGCAGATAGCAGTCACGCACAGACGCAGATAATGCAGCCCACGTAAACAGGCGCGGGCAACAACAACAAGGCGCTGATGCCCTCCGCAGCGCTGAGCTAGCAAGCTTCCCTTCCCACCCTCCTGCTTTACCTTCTACATTGCTCAATCCCTGTCCTGTTAATTAAAAACCTCTTTGGTACAAAAATAGGAAAGGTTATAAATACATTTTAAAAACCCTTGAGGACTTACAGCGTTGAAGGACAGAGTCATCGAGCGCTCGCCCCCTCCCCCTATGAACCTAGTTCCTCCCGGATCAATAACCTCTCTTTTTTTAAAAAAAAGCCATTTGATTTCTCAACCTCCATGCAGATGTTTACTTGAAAGATCATTCAGGTTAATCTATCTACCAAGGTTGAGGATAGTTAGTTTCTACACAAACTTCCACCCGCCCTCACCACTAACCAACCAACCAACCATATGGACTTAAAACAGCACCTCTTTAATGTCAGAGAGTCTCAAAGCGCGTTACAGATACTGTCATTGAGCGGGAGCTGAGCAAGGTGGGATCTGGACCATCACCATCTGGAACTCTCTCCCTCCCCCAAAAGGCTGTGGATCATGGCTGGATCCATTCACATTTTCAAGACGGAGGTGGATAGATTTTTATGCGGCAAAGCAGGGTAATTAGAGCTGAAGTACAGATGGGCTCTGATCTAATGGAATGGCAGAACAGGCTTGAGGGCAGAATGGCCTACTTCCTATAAATATGGTGGGTGGGAAGAGCGGCGAAAGACAAAGTCAAAGAGATGGATTTTTTTTGCGGATGGGTTTTGAAAGTGGAGAGGGAGAGAGCAGAAGTACATGGGGAGAGTTGGACCTTGAAAAGGATAAGGGTCTTAAAAACCAGTCGATTCATCAACATGGACACTTTGAAACAAACCAGCGTTTCAGAAACACAGCAGGAACCATGTACCACCAAGTTTCACCATTGAGCTGGGGCACTAACTCAGCCCCTGAGGAACTAACTGGTCTGAAAACATCAACGCACACAAGTTTTGGGAACGGAGGAAAAGCATCTCCGGAGAGAAAAATCGAAGACAATGTGTCCGGGAAAACACAGCGAGAAAGGCACCCCCGAGGACTGTGATTATTGTGACACAATGTGAATAGTGTATGAATTCCAATTATGCGTCACCTAAGGCCAAATCCACCCAATCATGAAATGCTTCACAATGTTCCACGGCAGTGTGGCTTGGGGCATGACCGGGACATGGGAAAAAACAGCAGAGAACTGAGAGGCAGTGAGAGCAAACAGCCCCAATTAGAATGGCTAATATTTCGATGGGTTTCACTAACTAATGGAGAGAAGTTAGACATGGAATTGTGGAGGGGAGGGGGTGAGTGGGGGGGGTGGGGCGCATTCAGAGTCAGTCTGGCACAAGGTGGTTTCTCAGTCAGACTCTGTGGAGAAGGTCGATGGTGTTGGTGGTGGGGGCGGGGGTGCGAGTGGTGAAGCTTTGTGTTCGCATCAGTTCAAGACTTTACATGTATATATCCAATCATCTATAACCTTGGAGTCCTGTAGCTCAGTGGTTAGAGCACTCGCTTTCCAAGCGAGAGACCTGAGTTCAATCCCAGGCAGAGGGCCAAACCTTGGGCAAGTTTCCTTACTCCACACAGAGCCGAATAATAATCCCTCCAAAACCAAAGACAATAATAAATTGGTCATTTTCAATCTACGACTGTTTGTGGGACATTGCTGTGCGCAATTGGCTGCCGCGTTCGCCCACAAATATACAGTCAATTCACTTTACAGTGTGTTCTGTGAAGCGCTTTGGGACGTCCTCCCGACTTGAAAAGCGCTATATCAAATGCAAGGATTATTATTATTATTATAACCTCCCATTGCAGAGACTGAGTCAGAAGAAATACAGAGCGGCTGCAATCAAAGGAAGGAGATGCAATGATTAAGAGGCAACAGTCATTAGTTAGTTATTAAAGTAAAGTTTCTGGCCATTATAACACTCTCAATATTTGTATTGTGAATCACACTCAGGTGAACCGTAACCACTGATGTTCCCTCACAAGGCACCACACTTGCTTATCTAAGCAATGTCTGTCTGTAGCTCATCTAGGTTTTATTCCAGGGAGCGGGAGCGGGGGGAGGACTGAACAGTATTTAAATAAAGGATTATCGGAGGGGGTGGGGGTGGCACAGGAAAAGAGAGAGACAGAGACAGAGAGAAGAAAAGATGTGATGAACTTTGCAGAGGAAGTACTTAACTCTAAGGAACCAAAATACTCTTCAACTTTCACAAACCCATTAGGGGAAGGTTCAATTACTAATACTGCTCACAGATAAAACCCTGTTATAGGAGGGTAGACTAAAGATAGGAGAGGAGACTCAATAGGAGAGATCAATAGCCATGAAACACTGACTACATTTGCATTAGAGTGGATTGTTCTATTTTTTTGTGTGGGTAGGGGCTGGTGATACATGCGTATGGCATTAGAGAAGGACTTTCAGCCAACCCCCCCCCCCCAATTTACCAGTCATGGAAGCTGCTTAACTCCAACATGCTTAGGTCCCGTGAGTGCCTTTGCCTCGCCAAAGCCAGGATACAAGTCCCGGTTAATAATAATAATCACATCAATAATAATAATCCTTGCAGTTGACATAGCGCCTTATCACGTCGTTGAGACATCTCAAAGCGCTTCATAGGATATCCTGCAAAGTAAATTGACCATATATTTTGTAATAATCTATATTAATACAGTAAACCTCACATAAGTCGTATCAGCCAGGACCGTACATTTGATACGACTTATGCCAAGTATGAGTTGTGTCAAACTTGCATAGAATATCATCTCTTGAATGGGACTTGGGGAAAAACGCAAGGCTTGGGCAATTATATACGATTTGTACAGATCAGGTTTATAAGAGTTTTACTGTAGAATATATTCTATAAGTCGAGCGGCATCATTTATTCTAAACGCTGGATTTTATCTTCACAACTTCAAACCCATTCCAAAATAGACCCAGATCCAGTGTTTAAGAACACACTTAAAAAGGGAATAATTTTCCTGGGGATTAAAAAAACGTCTTGAGACAACACTTGAAAAACACCTTGGATCCCAATTTTTAATTATTTCTTTAAGGCAACTGACAGGACTTGGGCTGAGCGGAGATATTGTTTATTTTAAGTACCACAAAAGTGAAATGGATTCTGGCAATTCGTACTCTACACTCGACCCAAGTCTTTAAAACATCTCAGGAGGCTGGTTCACTTTAACTTTTAAGAACAAATAAAATCGACACTACTTTAGGCTCGGAGCAATATATTACGTCGATAAAAGCTTTTAAAAACAGACTCGCACGAAAAAAACCTGGTCAGATAAAGATGAACCTTGCCAAGGGAAAGAGACTGTACAAACAGGTTCTTTTCAATATACAAGGGCTTGGCTTCCTCTTAGCCCTGAGAGGATATTATACTAATATCTGAAACATGAGATACAAAGAATACATTTTTCTTATTTTAATGCTGTTCAGAAAGCAAGAGTGTAGCTGTCTCTTTACGTTTTTAGAGATTATCAAGGCTCGCCAGACTTCCGCAAGCCGGGTGCTGTGTGTCACAGAGGCTCTGCCCTTCCAAGTCCTGCCGATGAGCCATCGCTGAGCTGCTCTACCAACAGTGGTGCCCACTGGAGTACCATGAACCCACCTGGCTCAGAAACCGTCACAGAGGGCTGACTTGATGCCGAGGCCCAAACCATCACCTTTGAGCCAGTTCAGCTCCAGGGAATCCCCACTCATCAGCCCCACGCCCCGGGTTCTGGACGAAGGATGAGATAAAATGGGCCGAAAAGCTTTCTCGGTCCCAAGATTTTTTTTTAGGAGAAGACGATCGTAAGCACGGTCGAAAAGGACAGCGGTTTGTTTAGGCGGGATTTGCAGGTGGGGAGGGGACGCACACACCTACCTTCTACTGGAGAAGTTTTTAACCTCCGGCAGATATCCTGAACGTCGCTGTAGGATTCTTGGATTTTAACGACCCCTTCCATACCTCGCAGTTGCATAATGTCACGCAGCTCCCCCAGGGAGATGCCGAATTCGCTCTCATGATTGCCTTCCACGAAGGAGTTGCCCGGGAGGTGGTCTGCTGTGTTATTACTCATTTTCGTGCGTTGGCGGAATAATCAACAAAAAAATGGCGCCAATCTGCGGCTTCGAGCAGCAATCCACGGCAGTGAGCGGCAGCGAGCGTAAATCCTACCGACGGGCCCCGAGTCCGACGGGGGTCTGCGGATTCTAAATTGATCTTCAGTCTCGAACGAAGACTCAAACATCAGCTGAGACTGACTTCCCCAGATGATGGCGTGGTGAGAAAGTGCATGTTACTGTAGAGTCAGCCTAAGGAACGACCGTTTCACCTCCTCTTCTCTCCCTCTCTGTCGCATCCCTCGGTGTCGCTGATCCTCTGGAAAACGTCTGAAAAGGACGACGAGGAGGAGGAGACAAAAAAAACACACACACACGTTAAAACTCGAGGCTTCAAAGATGAACGAAAGTGAACTTCAACCCTTAACAGAAAGAACATAGGAACATTCAGCCCCTCGAGACCTGTTCTGCTATTCTATAAGACAACATATACGGTCAATTTGCTTCATCCTGTGAAGCTCTTTGAGGCCTCTCGAAGACGTGATAAGGCGCTGTATCAAATGCAAGGATTATTATTATTATTATCATGGTTGATCTGTACTTCAACACCAATTACCTGCCTTCGTCCCATCTCCCTCGATGCCCTGACCTAACAAACATGAGAAAAGCCACAAAATCTCCAAAAGTCAGTGCACGACCTCAAAAGTCTTCCCAGAATAACAAAACAAGGCCCATTTATTCGGGCAGCTTTGCTATCTTAATGGGTTTTAATCTAAAAGGCAGTCGATTCAAACTCTTAATGATACTCAAGATTTCACGTACTGTAAAACTACGCAATCAGCCGCACGTTCGCTGGCTAGATATTGGGCAGGGGCGCAAACGTGCGTCAGTTTTACAGCCTTCCCGTTGGAACCGACCGGTCAATAGGCCAGATCTCCGCGCCCCAGCCTTTCCCCTCCACCGTTGCCGCCAACACATCTGGGAAGCAAAGCCAGATGTGCACATCAGCACCGAACTCTTTAGCGAGGCGGTTAAGCTCTTGGGTGCACCACTTCAGCCAAGAGTGGAGCTGCCACATGAGAGGAACATGTCAAACAAAAAACAACAAACAAACAAATAAATAAATAAAATTAAAAAAAATTCTTTCTTCGTTTCAGATTAGTAATTGGGGTCAACAGCTGGGTTTCAAGCCTCTACGCAACGTGTACTGTGGCTGGAAATGTCCAATTGCTATCCGAGCCAAGGGTTGCTCCACTTTAGAGTTTGAAAGAACACACATCTGGTCGTTCATCACTCACTGGGTTTCCCCAGCAACACTGGTCCAATCCTTCCGAGAGGGACCAGAAAGTAAAACTCAAAAGCTACCGCCCTACATACGTGGGAGAGCAATACCTATATAAGGACCTGAGCGATGCCCCAAAGCTTTAACCGCTTCAAATACAGACACGAGGGTCTCCAGTCAATCTTATCAAGCATTTCCAGCCATTGACGTATCAAGGCACTACATCGACTGCAATTGTTAATGTTAATAAATAATAATCCTTGCATTTGGTGTAGTGCCCTTTTGTGTCAGGAGGAGGATATCCCAAAGTGCTTCGCAGGATACGTTGTAAAGTGGTGCCACTGTTTTGTGGGCGAATTACGAGGGTTCATAATTAATGATACTGTTATCGTTTCCACGTTCAAATTAGTTCTCCCCCAGTACACACACAGAGAGAGAGGGAGAGAGATGACACTGCAAACCATGCCTCGAGAGACCAGGAAAGTCCTGTTTATTTCACAGCATCAAAATTTGATTGAAACAAAACAAAAATAAAAAAAAATCTGACAATATTGAAGAGTGGGTTTTATCCCCAGAACATGGGCATTTGTTTCTTGATTGGGATTTTAGCTGTAGATGTTCTCAATCAGACAGGCCATCCTTAACAGGCCTCGAGTCGCTGCTAACAGCTGCAGATAGACACTTGTCTTGCTTTTCACTCAAACACACATGTACCGCTCTCCCAGGAGAGAGAGAGGAGAGAGAGAGAGAGAGCTGCAGTCTGGATTCCACGCTGGCATCTGAACCATTGCTCGAGGCCACATTGCAGCCATGGCCCCACAATCCTTCCAATGCAATGGGAGAATGCTCGAAAAACACATTACCGCAGCATTTGATCAACTAACAAAACAAGAGTTTTTTTTTTTTTTATATATATATATATATAAACACCGCAACCTTCTCCGAATGCACCACCACCACAGCAATGTGCATTTGTACGGCGCCTCTCACCCAGGCCGGCGTCTCAGAGCGCTTGACATTGGCGGCGGTGGTGGGGGGAAGCCATAAGCCGCGGTCGAAGAGGAAGGTCTTCAGGTGTGACCTGAAGATGGGGAAAGAGGGGGCGAGAATGGAGGGATCGGGGGAGAGTGTTCCAGAGTTTCGGGGCATTGTGGCCGAAAGCAGGTTCTTCACCTCTCAAAATCGGGCAGAGAAAACTCATCTCAATGACATCACTTGTTCAACAGTGTGTGTGTGTGTGTGTTTATATAATGCTATTGAGCTCAAATGCTAACAACAGACTTGTGGTTGCGATATCCACAAGCACATTCAGTGGAAAGCTCTCATCTACTCAGAAATAGGAATATTGTTCTTTTTATTAAAAAAAGACAGATACACTGAAAACAGCTCTGCTAATACGACCCTGGAGAATCAAAGGCATAAAGGACCCCAGGTCAAACAAGGAGTATGCATACACACACATATATGATATATATATCTCTTGCACAGTGTATATTTGAGTCCAGATTTCACAAGCAACCGGAAACAATGCACTTCCAAAAGACTGAACGTAGCAATTCCTACTTTCTTCTAATTAAAATTACAGCGAGATCCCGAAAGGCAGCCGTTAGTTGACCCGCCAACAGCAGTACGGTTGGGCCTCATTAAAAATCATTAAAACTCGGCGAGCTGACATTCGCTGCTCTCACAAAAAGGGCACCTATCCCTTTTTCGGGAGCTCTCATCAGGATCAGAAACAGACAGGAGGGAGGAGAGGGGGTGGGGGTGGAGGAAGCTGTCTATGGCGCGTTGCAGACACGGACCTTGCCTGCTCTGACTGTGGCTAGTTTATGTTCTGCCTGAGGAGCGATGATGACTCAAGACACAGGCCAAAGGCTTAGCCCTGTGTAATGCGAGCAGCCAGGAAGATTCAGCAAATACTTCCACCACCACGCACTCATGCGGAGACTGGGGAAGCAGCTGCAATCGCTCTGAAAACACTTCACGCGCCACAGTTGTGGGTAGTGGGCGGGGAACAGCTTATACCTTTCCCTGTGATGTTTATTATCATGATAATCCCGTCGTTGAGACATTTCAAAGCGCTTCACAGAATATACTGTGAAGTGGATTGACTGTGTATTTTTTTTGGGGGGGCAACCAATTGCACACAGCAGTGGTCCCGCAAACAGTCGTGGGTTGAGCGAGTGACCAAATGTATTTGTTTATTTTTGGGAGGGATTATTACCCCTGGAAAGCGATCCGCCAATCGTCGAACAACTTACTGCTGGATAAACAAAGGCGTAAGGAAACCGGCTTAAGGCTTCGCCCTGCTCGGGAATCAAACCTGGGTCCTCTCACTTGCGAGGCGAGGGTGCTAACCACTACACTATGGTACTATTACACGCTAGTTCAACACAATGTACCCATTAGCCGTCGATGCTGTAAATCCCCAATAGCGAGTTAAAAAGGATATTTTTTTAATTAAAAAGGGTGACTGGCTGCATAGAGTTGAAATGAATAGTTACCAAAATATGCTTTGTGCTACCTCGGTTTTTTTTAAGACATAAATATACAAGTAGGTCAAAGCGGTTGGTGTGGTGAGGGGGACAGATAGAGATTATTACTGGAGTCGAGAGAAGTTCCAAAGGGCAACACATTAGGAAGCGAATTAAATCAACGCACCCTTGGCCAAATGGTGGCATCAATCACATCAATTCAGCTCCCTCACGCACGCTCAGGCTGAATTCGAAAGATACAAGTTGGCACTTTGCAATGGGTTTGTTATGCCAATCGTTTTTTTCCTATTCAAATAAAGTTAGCCAGCTTTTTATCCCTCCTCCTCCCCCCCCCCTACAAAAAGAAAACACTGCACAGTATTTCACCGCTGCCATTTCACCGTTACACTTGCACTGACACAGGGCACAGTCTCAGGCAATTTGTTTACCATTAACCGTGATGAGCTCACAGGAAATTCATTTCTGCCTTTCCATTCATTTCCCCTTTCCCCTCCCCCAAACCACCTCAAGCAGATAATAATAATAATAAATAATAATAATAATCCATTACATGATGTCAGGACGACATCTCAAAGCCCTTTGCAGGATATAACGCAGTGACTGTGTTATGGACTAATGCGGCAGCCAATATGGGCACAGCAGTGTCTCCTCAACCAGTCGTGAAATGAATGACCAATTTCCCTCCCCCTCTACCTCCCCCCAGTTTGCCGAGATGCCGGCAAATTGAAATGCCGAGCCGTGGCTGTGTGCATTCGGGAGGAACTGGGAACTGGTAAGAGACAAGGAGCCAGGCTCCGAATCACCTCTGACTAGGAGCTGAACCTTTAACCCAGAGTTGGGACGGTTTTAATGGCAGCCCAGTGGCGTGACTCTCTGCTGGCGAATACAAAGCATGGCGGGTAGCAATATGGGCGCTGTTCCATTTCAAGCACACGACCTGCAGAGAGGAACGTTGCAATCACCTGCAACAGGACACTTAGGGGCGAGAACCACAGGCCAGGAACCTTTTCCAATCCGATTGCAAGCCTTACAATGCCAGACATTGATGTCAGTCAACCACTGCAGTGGAATAATAATAATAATAATCCTTGAATTTGATATAGAGTCTTATCACGTCATTGAGACGTCTCAAAGCGCTTCGCAGAATATGCTGTAAAGTGGAGTGACTGTGTATTTTGGCGGTGAAAATGAGCCATTTCCAAAATGCATTAGTCTGCTCTATAAAGTTAAAGCGTTACTAAAAAAAATTATTGGGGTCACACCTCAGTTTCCCCACATGCTAGATGTTGGAAGTGTTAACTACATTTACGTGTGCGGTACAAAAAAAAGTTGTTTTCCTTTGATGTGTAGGTTTGGCCCTTAAATACTCTCACACAGTTTTTACAACTTGATCGATTTACAATCACTCTAGTGAGCTCTTCCTCCCTCCTTCAATCCCTCCACCCATCCCCAAATCCTCTTGGATTTCTTTCAGCTGCAAAGCCAATATTTTTTTTGTGTGTGTGTGTGTTTTTTTTTAAATTGTTACCCAACTATTTTTGCGTTAAA